AAGATAATGAAACTGGTAAATCTTATAGGTTTTCAAAGAGTGCAGTATGGATCAATGGTTATGGTTACGAAAGTACATCAAGTGATAATTGCCCAGTATATGTTGGAGTTAACCCATATGACTATATTGTCAATTACAATTCTAAAGCGGCACCTCGAATTGGAGCATCAGTAACCGTTGCACTTTCAATATACTATGACTGCGCTACAGTTGGAAATGAATACGCTAATTGTTTAAGTTGCGATGTTAAGTATCAAACATACTACCAATAACTTAGTACAAATCATAAACTGAATTTTCAAACTCTAACATTCCACATTTAATTTAACATTTAATTATTATTATTAATTAATAAATTTTAACTATTTAATATAATGCTTGTTCAAATGAGGCGGTATAATTATCTCGTGATTTTACTTATTCATTTATAAAAAATTGGTCAAGTTCCACTTTTTTAATATTTTTAATAAGCATTTAATTATTATATTTTTTATTACAAAATAAGTTAGTTCATATCATTAGAAATGGTAGCATAAACTATTATAAATAAAATAATTTTTAAAAAATTATTATGTATAAGAAATTGATTGAAACTTAATTTTAAAATTAGATTATTTTAAAAACCTTTTAAAAACTTAAAATTTTTATTAATAAAGTTAATAAAATATATATTAAACTATATTTTATATAATAATGAAATTATTATAATTAATATTTAATATTTTATAAAGAAATTAACACTTTTTTTTTAACTTTGCAGGCAAATTTGCCTGCTCTACAGTTTAAGAGATAATAGTAAATACCATTTTTATTATGTAAATATTAAAGGAATAAATCATATTTTTTTTAGAAAAATATTTAATCATCTAGTTTTAAGTTGTCTAAATTTCTTAACCCTTCTTTTTTCATAGATTTAACATTCAAAAAATATTTTTTGATCATAATTACTTATTTAATTATTAATTATGTAATATAGTTTATAATGTAATTTATTAAATAAAAGGATACATAATGAATTTTTAAGTTATTAATAAGTAAATTTTAAAAAAACTTTTTTATTAAGTTACTTTATTAAATTACAAAACTTAAAAAATAGTTTTTAAGACTTGTCTCTAATTTAGTTTATATTTTGAAGTATTAAATTAAGATAGAGAAATTTTACAATATAATATTTTGTTTTTTTATAATTTTAACATATTTCTATTATAGTAAACAAGTTATTATTAAATAATTTATTTAAATTAGATTTTAAAATAAAATTGTTTTTTTAAAAAATAAATAAAGTTATTTTTTTTTTTTAATAATAGATGAGAATTTTTTTACAAAGATCTGTTTTATTTATTAAGATAAATAAAAATAAAATTAGGTAGTAAAAATTAGCTAAGTAATCTAAAATGCTATCTAAAATATTCTATTAAATTTCATTTGCTAAATTACTAAATAAGATAGAAATATAAAATTGTATTAATTTCAAAAGAATAATCTCAGATTCTCTGATAAAAGCAAATATTTTTAACTAATTAATTATATTATTATATTGATTATATTGATTTTTATCTTTTGATTATTTTTAAATAATATATTTTTAAGATAGTTTTTTTTTTGAAAATATTATATAAATATTATTCTAATAATATTTGTATTAGTTTATAATAGATTTATATTTAAATATATTAATTTAAATCAAATAAATTTAAATATTTTTTAATATTTATATTTTTTTTACTTTACTAGAACTAGAGAAAAAAATTATATTAAGTTTTTCTTATAATAATTCATCAAATAAGAATTTAGCATATTAGATATCTTTTCTATTCTTCTAATATATCTCTTTTTCTATTTAATATAAAGGTAATTTGGAGGTATTTCTATTATTAAATAAGTCAATTATATAATAATATGTAAGCTTTTATTAATAATTTTAAATTTTAAAGTATATATTATAAAATAGAACTATATTAATTTTAATTATAACTTAAATTGCAATTTTTTGAGTTACAATTATTTATAAATTTTTATATTAAAATAAATTTTATGAGAAGTTACAAATAATTGCAATTTCTTAATTAAAATATTATCTTTAATATGTTATATATAATATTAAATTTAGTAATTAAATTTTGTTTAAAAATGATTTTAATTCTGATTTTTTTATATTATATAATATATTGTCTTAAGTTATTTAGATATTAAATCTTAGAGATATAATATAATTTTAAAGTTTTCATATATAATTTAAAATTATTAGTTTATATTTATTTTATTATTAATATCACTAGCAAATATATAAGTCTTCAATAATTTCTGTATCTTAATTTGAATAGTTATAATAAGTTTATTAAATTTTTATAAGTAATAATTTTAATAGCTATTTCATTATTCTTGTAATTACTTATAAATTTTTAAATCTTTTCATATAATTATATAATTCTTATATTTCTTTAAAATTTTTTCTACATATTTTTTATAAATTTGGCAATCTTATATTATAATTAATAATAATATTATTAATATTATAATATTATTTGATATTTTTTTGCTTTTAATAATAAGAAAATTTAATATACAGCCAAAGTTAGATATAATAATATTATTATAATAATTATATCATATATGATAAAAAAATCTCTTACCTAAAACAATTTTAATTAAATTAGCTTTATATATGAAAGCTTATCAATAGAAAAGGAAAAAATAAAAAAAAATTTTATAAATTAACGTTAAATTTACTTCATATACTAATTATGATTTTTTTAGTAAAGTAAGTTTAAAATTTTAATTTTTTTTCTTTTCTATTAATTAACACTAGTCGAAATAATTTTTTTTTTTTTAAAGATATGGTACTGTCAGTAGTTTATTAATAAATTGTATGATAATAATTAGATTAAAAATTAAAAAAGTAAATATAAAAAATAAAGACTAATTATCCCTCGTAATTCTATTTCAAACCCGTTTAGATCGACCAATCACTAAAATTCTCCCTCAGTACCCTCCTAAAGAAAATTCTCAAGAAGAATACAAATGATAAAAAATCTAAATGAATATGTCAGTACTGTCCCAAGAAGTCACACCAGGAATAACCAAAATTGAGAGCCAAATATAACTAAGTTTTCCAATTATTAACTAAAGACTTCCTCAGTTTAGAAGGATGTCAGTAATTAACTTTATACTTTACTTTCTTTTTCTTCAATTTAACTCCAATATTAAGAGATTGTTCTTTATTAACCATGGCTTTGCAATGAGGAATCCAAATTAATTTGTAGATAGAGTTATTTAATTTACCTAAAATTGTAATCAATATTTGGTTCACAATTAATTAGAAAAAAAGGGATCTAAAGTGATTAACTAAAGATCTAGGAATAAACCTTTCACTAATTGGATAAACTTAGTGGGATTTGAGGTAAAATTAAATGATTCCAAAAATTGTTGTTTGAGCGAGAAGTAAGAGTATAATCTATTGTTATCAATTTTAAAAAGAAGTAGGTCATCAGCAAAATCCATAAGTTTCACAGATATATTGATCAATTTAACCTTATTAGAGAGGCAAGTCTATAAGTGATCAGCAGTTTTAGGAGTGGTATTACAAATAGCATAATTTTAGCCTTTATCCCTTAGATTGTCTAGCAGGCAAATTTGCCTGCGAAATTAAAAAAAATTGTTAATTTCTTTATAAAATATT